TTGACTTTGTGACATAAGAAGTGCCAGTGAGATTTTCATATTCTATTAGCCACTTCTTAAACTGCTCTCTGGTTAATAAATTGATAAAAAAAATGGACCTTAAGGTCTCCCTGAACTATGGTTTGGCTAATAATTTTTGTTGGCCAATTGTCAGGTAGAGGAATCTAAAAAAAATACAAAATACATGTCAAGGTAGCTTAGTGAAAACTGGAAACATAATGATATAATTTAAATCATTCATTATTTGTTAAAAAGGCTAGTAGGTATCACAGAGCCACTAAATTTGTTTTTACTTTTATATAGTCAACTATATGCTCTCAGATGAAATTTCATCTGAGAATATGCTAGTACTATATAATTACTTAAACACTCAAATTTACTGAACTCTGTTTTTTTTACTTGCTGAAGTATCTGAAGTTAAGAATAAATAAAAGGAAGGAGGAAGGTAGGTTAATTAGGTACTTACTTTAATTTTCGAGTTCTGTTGAGCCATATTTTATACAACACACAACTTCATATAAATATAATACTTGGATAAAAAAATCCTTTTTTTCCTCGTCTAAGAAAAAATCAAAAGATTTCAAAATATTTTTGAGGTTAAGAATATAAGAAATGCGCCAAATGTCAAACGACAAATCTCTTAAGGCGTCTTATTGGTCGAATAACGGCCCATAACGGAACTGTGGAGTAGATGTACTATCGCGCAATTTTTTGGCACTTGGGCCTGTTTGATAGAGATTCAAAATATCTCCAAAGAGGACAGCACGATGGAAAAAAATTTACGTGTGCAAGTTTCTCATGGCACTTAGACCCCAAAACCGTAGAAATACCTAATATAACAAAATTGGCACATAGACCCTTTTGCATATTTCACTCTTCAATTGACCCCTCCTCAAAGCTGGTTAGTAAACCCGGATGAGACTCCTCCACTTTCATTAATTTCTCATCATAATAGGCCAGATAACGTGAATAATTCTGCTGGTTAAATGTGAAGAACATATTTGTAATACGTGGTAGTACCCCCTTAAATGTACAGAAATCAGCCGTCCGTCTCTCCTGAGGGATGATACTATAGATCTCATAAGATAACCAGAAGCACCATAGAGAGATGTAATGGAAGATTAAAAATGGTATTTACATGCCTTTTGGGGGAAAGGAAGCTACGTTAAAGTGGGAACCATTATTAATGCGTCTGCCGTATTACATATTTTTTCAATTAGAGGTAGAATAGAATATAACATTGACTTTCAAATTGGAAGATATTCCTAACAATAAAATTGGCCTCGAAATTGGCCAAAATGAACTTGTCTTGTCATTTCTAGAACAAGGTAGGCAAATGAGTCATCGAATTTTACATAGATATTTTAATTAGGTGTAATTTTAATAACCCTAAAAAATAAGTTTAGAATAGTAGGTACCTACTTCTTATTAAATTAAACACAATAAAACAAAAATGTTTGTATATAAACCCTAGATATTTGTTAATTTTTAATATTGATTTAAGTAAAACCTCCGAAAACCATGGAAATTAGGTATAACATTATTCAATAATGGAAAATAAATTTCTTGCAATTTTTAGGTATATAATAAAATTATATAAGAGTTTCTTGCCTTGAACTGCTAATATAGAAATTAATTCCACGCTGTGTTCGACATAAAGTGGATCAACCTGCTCTCACTACCGGTTTCGGGGCCCTACCCCATCATCAGGTGACCTTGGGTATTTCCACAATATGTCGAGCACAGCGCAGAGTATGTAAACACGACTTGTCGTAAAGTAGCGGTAAGATATTAAGCGGTAGTGAGAGCAGGTTGATCCACATTATGTCGAACACAGCGTGGAATTAATTTCTATATTAGCAGTTCAAGGCAAGAAACTCTTATATCATTTTATTATATTATTCAATAAAACACAATTTAAATTTACTTTTTTGTATTTTTATTTATCAAAAACAAACATAAAAATAAAAAACTCTTAAACAAAAAAACAAAGAAAGGTTTTCAAAAACATAAATTACTAATACATGAACAACTTTAATATTAAGAAATATTAATAATTATTAATGTTTCTATATATAACCTAAAATTGTAAATATCAGTTTTTGGTGAACGAATTAGGAAGTATGAAAAACTCTAAACCTACAAAAAACAAACAAAAAGGCTTCCAAAAACATAACATTAAAAGGAACTCAACTTACAAATACAAAAAACAACAAAACAAATCATTAAAAGAACCTAACAATTAAAAATTAAACAAATTTTTCTGAGGTACATTTGCATTTACAATTAGATTCCTTGTCCGCAATTCTTGCAATATTTGCATTAATTTCTTTAAGTACGGCCAAGGTTTCTACCAGTGGCGTAACTAGAAATTTTGGGCCCCGCAAATTTTCGCATGGGGTCCCTCAATTTGGAATAAGAAAAGAGAAAAAAATTCGGAAGTAGAGTCATTAAAACCTGAAGATTATTTTTCTGGGATGCGTTCAAATAGGTACATTTTTTAGTAAAAAACTCATTTGAAATTACAGATGGTTGAATTGGTTGATAATATATATTTATTATATATACCTGAACATGCTACATGCTTGCCAAATCAATTAAATAATATCTACAAATAAATTTAAATCTTGTTTATTAAGCTAATGAAAATGTTACATTTATACTATAATCCTATGATAAGTATTTAATACGAGTACAGAAACTGTAAAACGTATATTTTATGTATGAACAAAACCAGTGCCGTAACTAGCTCATTTTGCGTCCGGTGCGAGCTTACTTTTTTTGCACCCCTACCCCACCTTTTTCCAGAATTTTCCCACAAAAAAAGATCGGTAGAAACCGAGAGTTTTTCATAGTTTCTAATTCGTTCACCAAAAACTGATATTTACAATTTTAGGTTATACAGGTTGTTAACTGTACAGTTACTTATAGAGGAACAGAATGGCAACACTGCCTATTGAGAACGCATGCACTTATAGGGTTTTCTGCCAACTCGTCCCGTCGTGTCGTTTAGGCCGAGGTTGCCATATTTCAACCATAAAGCTCTTGCCACGAGTAATAAACAAATTAACAACCTGTATAGTATGAAGCATTAATAATTATTAATGTTTCTTAATATTAAAGTTGTTTATGTATTAGTAATTTATGTTTTTGAAAACCTGTCTTTGTTTTTTTGTTTAAGAGTTTTTTTATTTTTATGTTTGTTTTTGATAAATAATAATATCATTTTTTTAAGTTAAAGTATTATGATTAAAAAAACACTTTAATAATTGCAACATTGGAACCGAAAAACAAAATAAATTCTATCAAAATAAAAACAAATTCTTAAAATAGGTATTAAATGGTCACAAATATTATAGGAACAGTGGACACAAGTATTATAGGAACATGAGTTAACGGTAGGTATATTTACATAAATAAGAAAGGACTCATTGACACTTACCTACACTTACATATTAAATAACCATTTAAAATTTGATTTAACACAAAGAAACTTTTCTGGCTTTACGTGAAGCAAATTCATTAATGACTAAATCGTAGTCCAGATTTTTAGCTATGCAATTTTCTATAGACAAAATAGCTAAATTTGTTGTTAGTTTTTGTGTCATAGTTGACCTTAAAAATGTCTATTAATTTTAGCTTACTAAAACTTCTTTCACAAGATGATGTGGTTACTGGCAATATATTTTCTATATTCAGACTATCTTCCAGTTTTCCTAAAATTTATTTAGCCAAACCTTCGCCTGTTTTTTCATGTGATTCAATAAAATCGACAAAACTTTCCACTATAGTAACCTTTCCATTAATAATATGCACATATCTTAAAACTTGAGACATTTGTTCATGATGAGAAAAATCGGGGGTGCAATCAAACAAGATTGAAAAATACTTTGCTTCTTTCGCTTGTTCAATGATTTTGTGCCTAACTGTTGACCCTAGTAGATTAATAACCTCATTTTGAGTAAAAGGAGAAAAATACGAAATTTGACCTTTACTAACAGAGCCAATGTGCAACTTTAATTCCGGATTGAAATGAGCTATCATTTCAATGGCGCTTAGAAATATTCCGCTGTGTACTTCCCCAATCTTTTCATTACTTTCTCTTAAAGCTAAATTATTTTCTGCACAAAACAAAATAACACTTATATGTACCCTTAAGACATGTCGCCATTTTTCTTTCTCCTTATCTATTGCAATTTGAAGAGAAGCGTCAATTGAAGATATTCCTGTAAGTCCTTTTTCAATTTTGCAGATGAAGGGCAGAACTTTCGTGTTCCGGAATTCATGGACTTAAATGTCGCCAGTCACTAAATCCTTTTTCTGGATTTGCCATGGATGATACAGAAGGATTGAGATAGAATTTTTTATTAAACAAAAGACAAGGAAAACTTTGATTGAAAATATTGCTTGTCTCTTTTGGCTATAAATTAACCACGTTCGCTCTGACAACTGACCGTTGACTAATTTTCTTTGAAACCATTCCCTTGAAAATTTTCTATTATTTGATAATAGCAAATCAGACTGTGACATTTCTACTAAATGTTTTCCTTGATCGGGTCCTTGCTCAACAAGAAAACAGCGAATTGAATCATTCATAAGGAACCAAGATGCAGGATCATTCCGGTCGATGAAAGTGTCAACTCTATTTTAAGCAATTTGGGACTCTTCGGGATCGAATAAATTAACGTTATTATCCTTGACAGTTTTCTCTTTTGTTTGTGATATGGGTGGTGATGAAAACTATTGGTGATCCTCTTCCATGTCACTGAAATTAGTTTCACTATCATCAATAGTAGGGTGAAATTGCAGCTCTTTTGGATCTGATAAGAATAACGTATTTTGAGATTGAGATGTAGCGAATTCGATGTAGATATAGTTTTATTTTCATCTTCACTAGATTTGGTCAAGTTTAGTAAGATCTTGACAATGCTTTTTTTATAATTATATCTTTATTAACTAAAATATATACAACTGTTTAAAAATATACATTTCAATTGGTAAAATTCACAAAGTGGGCGACACCTACTGTCAAATTTGAATACTAGTATAGAGGTGAACAACAAACAAAAATTAGTATTATTTGTCGTGTAGGTTTTTTAAGTTAATTTTATTTTTTGTTCAAATCAGTGTAAATAAGCAGTTTTTACATACAATTTGTTTTAAATATTAATGTTTGGAGTGAATTTTAAGATATAAAGATTCTGCCCCGTATGTACATTTGAATCCTCGGAATCGGTGTTACAAGTTATATGAGGTTAGCCAAGAAATTTCTTTTGAGGATTTTTAAAACTTTTCTGCATTTAAATTTAGTTGTTTTGGTAAGCGATCTTTCAAGTGCTGAAAGATCGCTTACCATTAGTATGTACTTACTAGAAATTATTTTAGTTTTGTATAGTTTGGTATAAATTTTGAAGGAAAATGCAGTCTGTTCATAAAACAGTAGACACCAAATCTAGAAAAATATGTTCAGTGCCTCAATGTTCATCATATTGTACAGCAGATGTTTCATTGCATGCTTTTCCTAAAGATCCTAAGCTATGTAAAATCTGGCAAAACATATTGAAAATTGGAAAGCCGATAACAAAATATATGTTAGTTTGTAGCCTGCATTTTACAGAAAATGATTTCACTATAGGTAAGATATGGAATGTGTAATCGACATGTTTGGTTTTAAATAATATCTTTACTCTACTTTTAGCAACAAATAAGCGACGTCGGTTAAAGAAACTAGTACTTCCTAGTCAAAAAATCCCAAAGACGAGCCATTCATTAAAAAAGAAAATAAAGTCCAGATCGGAGCGACATTGGCTACAAAAATGCACATTAAATGTTGATGAAAATGTAGAAGTAGAAGAGCATGAAATTTCGCTAGAAGTTGATGCTCAATGTGTCAGTGAAGCAAAAGAACATGCTACTCAACTTGCTAGAACTGTTGATGAACCAAAAACCTTAATTAGTGCTAGCACGTATGAAGCTCAACATTCACTTATATTTTATAAAGATGCCTCAACAGAAACAAATTTCAGTGACTTTTTTGAATTGCCTCAAATTTTAAATACAGATGAGAAATTGATTAATTTTACTGGGATTAATTTTGATATATTAAATACAATTACAAAATGTACTGAGAAAACAGCTACTTTTAACAAGTGCCTCTGGAAAGACATCAGGACAAGACTAATTTTGTGTCTCTGCAAATTGAAAATGAATATTTCATTTGTATGTTTGGCTACTTTATTTAAAGTAAGTAAAAGTATGTGTAGGAATATGTTCTACTCCACTATAAGTCTCCTGGCCGTCAGCTTAAAACCGGGTATATATTGGCCAAGTAAGGAGGAGATCTTAAGTAATATGCCAAAGTGTTTCGACAAATATAGAGATACCCGAGTTGTCCTTGACTGTACAGAGCTGAAAATTCAAAAACTGAAATGTTTAAAATGTAGAGTCAGGACGTACTCCCATTACAAGGGAACACATACTATCAAGTATCTAATAGGAATAACCCCATCGGGATTAATATCCTTTATCAGTGCTGGATATGGTGGTCGCACTACAGATAAAGCAATTTTTAATTATGAAAACGTTATTGATAAAATTGATATGTATGATGCAGTTATGGTTGACAAGGGTATTTTAATTCAAAAGGAATGCGAGGAAAAATTGGTGAAATTAATTAGGCCACCTTTTCTAAGGAAACAGAAGCAGTTTTCAAAAGAAGATGCTGAGGCTACAGCTGATATTGCTCGTGCCCGAGTGCATGTAGAAAGGGCTATACAAAGAATAAAAGTGTTTAAAATCTTGAGCGAACAGTTTAATTGGTATTTATTACCATATGTGGATGATATAATGACTGTAATCGCATCAGTTGTAAATTTATCAACACCGATACTAGCAGACAATAAAATTCGTGAATGACTTAAGCTGTATTTTATATGTTACTGAATTTCTATTATTTAAGTATGAAAATTTTGTTGTATTTTTTTAGTTTATAGAATGTACACCCTTAGATAAACACATCATTTATAAGATATTTATTTAAACAATAATAACGCAACATATATACCTAAAATAATTTTCTTTATTAGTTTGCATTTTAATATAACTGAATTTCTATTATTTAAGCATGAAAATTTTGGTACATAGTAATTATTATTTTTTTAATATAGAATGTATACCCATAAATAAACACATAATTTTTAAGATATCATTTATTTAAACAATAATAATGCAACATATGCCTAAAATAATTTTCTGTGATTCTTTTAATCAATAACTCTGCAAAAGTTTCATTAAAATTAACATTAATTTTTATGAATGATTTTGAAAAACTCGAATACAAAATTAATTTTGTATTTCTTAAACCCAAAAGAGCCATCCCCAATTGAACCTGGCCATAATAAGAATGTGCCTCTTTCAGCTTCATTTCCGTTCCAATTTTAGTTACGAAATCACATTCCGAAAATTTCTCAGGTGGATTATCTTTTCCTAAAATAATAAGTTAAGAGTTATTAGGAATTAATCCAACAAAATAAGAATTGATAAGAATTACCAATAAATGGGCACTTTATTTCGAGTAATGTCGTGGGGGTATCATTCTCAAAAACAACACCATCAGGAGAAAATCCCAGCCATGGAAATGTTGTTGAAACTACTAATCCAGGAGTTACGATTTCATCCTCACATTCTTTTTTAAAAGCCTCCAAGGCTTCTTTCTCATATCTTCTTCCATGTTCAACAAATTTATTCGTAAATGTTTGGGAAAAAATAACTTTTTGGCTTTATTCTCCCATTCATCTTCCTTTTTAAAAGTAAAAATTGAGTAGCATGTTGAGCCTGACAAAAATTAAACCGATAGAAAATAGACAATACATATTATTTTATTTACATACCTGTAATTCTTAATTTTCTTTCTTCTGACCAAGAACTGGAACCTTGCTCGTATTTTGTTGCCACCTCTAGTACATTGCATGACGATAATACATTTACAATTTCTTGACAACAATCCTGTAAGTTGTATGTACTTATTTCAATTTGATTCTTTAAATGTTTTAACCACTTGGAATTTTCCGCATGTGCAAGAGCAACTTTCACTAGTGTAACAAAATGGCTAAAATATAAAAGTTATTAAAACAATAATTATAGAAACATGTTTAAAAAAATGTTTACCTATGAAGAGCCAAAGTTGTAGAAGGGTTTGTTGACCGACCTAGAAATCTGGTGAGTGCCGAATCTGGTACACCTAAAAATTTCAGAAAAATATATTAAAATCAAGTAACACAAAACAATACACTAAAACATTTTCAATATGCAGAAAATTTATTCAATCCTAGCAGAGCACTTTCAACTCTGCTTTCAATTGTGAAGTCAAACTTACTGCCAGAACACTTTTGGATGTAAAACCGAACTTTGTACCTAATCTGCTAATATTAAATAAATAATTATTTACATATAACACATAATTCTGTTTTACTATTATAATTATTTTTAATTTCCCAAAAAGAATAGTTAAATTAAATTATTATCTAGGGAATTAGTTATAACAACCTAACAAAATAAATTAATACCTGTGCTAAGAAGAGCAAAATTTTCCCTATCCACCTCTGAGGATGAAGAAAAGACGTATTTATTGTTCACCACTGGGTGACAAAATTCTTTGAATGGCTCAGGCTTATAGGTTTCTTGGACACCCTTCTTTTCCTTTCCCCATTTTTGCTCCAAATCTGTACAGCTTACCACTTCTAAATCCTCATTTCTACAGACAAAAAGACTTCATAAGCTGGATAAAATGGACTTAAGATATCATATAAAATGGCAAATAAATTACAATAGTGTGTAATATACTGAAGTTCACTCACCTATTAACATAAATTAGAGTGGCTATAATGTGTTTGCAGAAACCTGACATCCCTGCCTTGCAAGAACAACTACAACTCCATTGTTTTTACATCACAATTCAATGTAATTGTTATTTCATGAGGTCGAGTAGTCAGGTCAGAGGTTTGTAAACACAAGCTTTTAATCATTTTTGAATTTGATCCTAATCCACATAATATTACATGACCAGCTTTCAAGAGAGCTTCGCCTTCTTTAAGTGGTCTGCTCCGGTTCCCCTATGTATTCAATAATATCCGATAGAGTAACCTCTATTTTCGGCATTTTTCCAGAAATATCACAACACTACAAACTCAGTCTAATACAACGATCTAAAGTACTAACAACTTGTAACAGACCTTGTAAATACAAAATTACACGAACTTTTATGAACAAAATCAAAGAACATATAGTTGAATATACTGACAATCGTCTTGTAAATATGAAAAGATTTTGTTGTTCACCGTTATAGACACCATATTGGAAAATCCTAGCGCCATCTATTGGTGGCCGAATTTCGCCAATAATATTGTTAAGCTTTATCTTCGTGGTAGTTGTTTGAAGGCATTGTTATTTTTTTTTATAAATTGGTCTATGTCGTCTACGTTTATACGCTCTTCGCAAATATCATGTTTTTAATTTTTTTCTTAAAATTTTTATAATTTAATTGTGTTAATTCTGTTGGTAACATATTATATATCGTGGTAGTTTCTGTTGTTAGTTTTTGTGAAAGTTTTTTTGAGTTCTCTTGGCTATTCTGATGTCTGATTTTCTTCTAGTTTCGTATTTGTTTGTTAGTATTTAGAGAAATATTTGTTTTTATTAATTTATTTTTGATTTTGTGTAGAAGTAGTATATTATGATATTTTATTAATTGTCTTATGTTTAGTTCTTTTGTTTTTTGATATACTTCTTTTATTGGTGTTAGTTTATCTAGGTTAAATAATATTTTTAGTATTTTATTTTGTTGCCTTTGTAGCATGTTTAAGTTTTTTTCTGTTGTATTACTCCACGTATTAATTAAATATATATTCCTTGATGAAAATAATGCATGATATATTGGTTTCTTCACATTTGGTGGTATTATGCTTTTAAGTTTCAGAGTGTGGCAATTGTTCTGGCGTTTTGTTTTTTTAAACTATTTATATGTGTGTCCCATTTTAAATTGTTATGGATTTTAATGCCGAGGTAATTGACTTCAGATATTTCTTTTATTTTTTGCTCGTTTAGAATTATATTTAAGTCTTTTATTTGCTTTTTTATATTAAATCTTATAAATTCTGTTTTGGAGTCATTTATAGTTAGTGAATTGTTGAAGCACCACATTTCAAATTTCTTTTGATCATTATTTAGGTTCACTTGTAAATTGTTGTAATCTTTGTCAGAATATATATTTTGTTTTCGTCTTCTTTTGCTCGTTTTTTGCTTTCGAAACTCTGCACCAGATGGTCGCTTGTCTCTTTATTATATTTTATGAAAAAAATGCCCTCAATAAATATAAAACTTTACACAGTTTACTTTTCCGGATTGATAACTTAAGTCCAGGACTCAAGAAGCCACAAATAATCCAACTTGCGCGACTTTTCACAGAGTTTTATACTAACATTTCCTCGGGCGTAGCTAACGGTTTTTTGTGTTTTTTTTCATCAACAACCTGTTTATTGAACGTTTTTAAGTTTTTAAAATTATAGTTACAAAAAAAATAAAAAAAAAGAACCAGATGCATAGAGACTCGAACGCGGTACATAAATTAACCTCACACCCGAAACTCAAGCGTATAACCACCTGAGCCAACTAAGCATGTAAGAAATATTCGCCAACGCTGTATAGGTTGTGTGCAAGCATAATGAAGTCAGGGATGAATTATTGAAGATTGATAGCGCAGACCTGGTGTGATTACTGCCGTTTGAAAAATTATTGCTTCGTTCAAACAATGAAAATATATTTAGGTCTTTGGATATAAAAAGACTTTCTACTTCCTTTTCCCCAAATTTCTAACACTTCATACTTGTTTATAATGAGTTCGTTTTTTTCTAATGATCTGGCAATCCTACCTCCGTTAATCAAACTAAATTACGATACGGTATTTGTATTAACCCATTAAGTCCCACGGTACTTTTTTGTTTCTAAGTTTCTTGTTAAGTTCTATACATAAATTTTGTTAAAACACTTTATTTTGATCAAAATGATATATAAAAGTTATAGGCTAAATGCACGGGCTAAATGGCTAAATGCTAATTATTTTTAACTTAGATATATACAGGGTGTCCCAGAAATAAGTGCAAATATTTTAACTGGTAGTATAGTTCAACCCCAGAAACACGCCTATGAGATTTTTTTGCGAAAAAAAAATTTGGAAATCCGGAATTTTTTGAAAATTTTTTTAGTTTTTATTTAAAAAAAAATTTCTTGATAATATGGCAACAGTAGTAGATTAAATTTACATGAAAGAAAATCCAGAAAAGATCCAGTGGTTCCCAAAATTTTAGCAAAACATCACTTTTTGGAAATTTTCAAGATAAAATAACTCCGTTATTTTGGACTTACTTGAAAAACGATAAAGAGAAAATATGTTTCTTTTATCGAGATCTACCACCCCTTAAAATATATACACTTATTTCTGGGACACCCTGTATATGTACTTAAATGAGTACACTGGGTTTATAAAGTACATAAATAAAAAATAATGGAAAATCTCTAAACTAACAGAAACTTATTAAAAGTTATAAAATATGATACTAATGGGAATGATATGCTATGGAACAGTTACGTTCTAAACAAAGTGTTACTTTGTACTTTATGCAAGCCCATCTACTCCTTAGATGACACTGGACGCATCTTAGCTTTTTTTACAATTTTTGAGGGAAATGGCTTCGTGCTGCCTAATGGTTTGAAGGACTTGAGCCGCAGGTCTTTGTTTCTTCATATATTGATATTTACCTATGCATTTTACATAGTGCTTCACAATGTGTCTGGAATTCAAGTAAATCAGTTTTAACATTGAAAATGTTTCTGTTATCCTATATAAGGGAGCCCAAATCGAATTAAAATGCTACATTTGCCACACCATGACGTCATATATACAAGGGTATAGGAAATCTCGGCGCAGCGGTGGCAGTCGACTAGCGCGCGCAAAAACCATTACATCGCTAATTGTTTATTGATATATCTTTATTAGTTTGGGTGCTGAAAAAATATGTGGGTTTGTTTTGATACCTTGTCAAGACATAAGCGAAACTTTTAAATTGTTTCTTTTTCATTTATAGGGCCTTCGTTTTTCGTTAAATGAAGTTATATTAAAAATTCATTTGGACTGCTGAATTTCTGTTTGCAGGTGCTATGCCCTGAACTTCCATCGAAGCCGTATTTACAGATAAGGTAAGATTAGTCGAGTTTAGCTTCATATTTTGTAAATTTGTTTCTAGAATTTTTTAAATACTTTTAAGTGTGTGATCTAATAAAAGCTGTAACTCAATTTCTAACCCTTGTTCTGTGCAGATAATATTTTGTGGAATCAACTCATTTCGAAAGGAAATAACCTTAAATAGACTTGGCAAACAGTTATCGTGCAAATTATTAATTATTGACCTCAGCAAATTATATTTTCTTTGGGAAAGATCCAAATCAACAAAAAGCGCTAGAGTATCTTGCATCGAAAGAGACTTTTTGCCTTGCAACAATATTCGTAATATTTTTCTTTTTACTTGCCTCCTGTACAGCAAAAGAGAGTTCCTGCAATGAATAATTTGATACCAATTCGGAAACTCGTCTTTTTTTCGTTTTCTCACTACTTTCCTGGAAATCTATTCTTGGTCTTCCCCGGCTACATCTTGGTAAAGATTTAGGCTGTTTTGTCTCCTTAATTTGAGAAATTGACTTGCACAAAAAAATATCAGTTTGAAGCCATTTCTTCTGCTGCGACTCTAATGTTTTTCTAGTTCGGTGACATTTTTTCCATTTTGTACTCATTTTTACGCCAAAAATTCCGGCTGATTTGAAAACGACTTTTTACTGCTTTTTTGTGAGTAGAAATATTCAACAATTGCACTATTTTTTCAAACACGGCCAAATTTTTCCCTCCGTTTGGAGCCGAAATCCATGAGTCCAGCAAATCAATATATCTTATGGGAACTATATTACCTATAGTAAAAAATAAATGGTAATGGGCAAGTTTCGGCAAAAAAGAACTTCTGTTTGTAAAACTACATACTTTGGGTCATCAATTGAGCCCAAAAACAAAAATACGTTTTAATAAAATAAATAAAAAAATATTAGAAAAACTGAACAAAAGTCATACATACCTCGCTTATAAGGTTCCATTATATTTGCAATTTAAGGTGTAAAATAAAATGTAAACAAATACTATTTACTTTTTAAGCGACGTGGCTTCAAAAATAGTATAAATAACATTAAATTTTTGAGATGGGCACTTTTACGATAATTTAATTGATGAGTATAAAAAAAGACAAATTATTAACATATTTATATACAGGGTGTCCCACTTAAGATGGATACAAGCCAATATCTTGGTTGTTCGTTGAGCGATCATTTTCATTTTCGGCAGGAGGCTGTATGGCTATAAGACGTACATTTTGCCCAGAGTAAGAAATACCTCATAGACGTACGTTTTAATGGGGTTCGATATTTTTCGAGTCAAAAGTAAACTACCCTTAGGACAGTATTTATTTGATAAATCTGATAAATTATATTGAATTCTCCTTACCCAAGATACTTAAGTTCTAATTTTAATAAATATTGATACAGGGTGTGTTATTAAAATAAGATATTTTTATTTTTATTATTATTTTTTAAGTACTTACTGCGGCCACTGGATAAACAACTGGTTTATTGCCATTAACCAATTATTAACCAATTATCAATTAGTAATCGATTTAAGTTTTCAGATAGCTTCCATAATAATTAAGATACTATACAAAAAAACTAAATATTTTCAATCTATTTTGTTTACTTTAAAAGATTGTTTTTTAAGTTTGCTAATACAAATGAATAAAATGAGTTACATAATAATTTAAAACCCCAGTTTTCAATGGAATCTGAAATGTGA